AGCAAGCTTTCTCAGGAGATAATAACTGAATTACAGTATCATTATTGGGACTTCCCTGTCAGTCCAGTGGCTAAGAGTCCCTGCTCCTGATTCAGGGGATCTGGGTTCGATCCCTGATCAGGGAACTAAATCCCACCTACATCAACTATGAGTCTAAATGCTGCAACTAAAGATTCCACATGCCACAAGTAATATCCAGTGTAGCCAAATATATAAAAATTAGAAAAAATATTGTTATTGAGCTCTGTTTATGAGCCAGATAGAATCACAAATCCCCAGAGACATGAGAAAGCAGAAGAGGGAGAAGAAACACATACAAGCTACACAGAAAAGATGTAACAGAAAAGGACTCTCTCCTGGATAATCGCTAAATGAACCCTGGTGGAGAAAAGACTCCATGAACAAGGTGAGGAAAGTACCTGGGTACCACCTGCTCTTCTCCCTTCCCAGAGGAAAGCAGAATGCTTGGGGTGAAGACTCCGTTGAGCTCTGGAGGGCAGGGATGGTGAGCCTCACACAGTTAAAAGCATCTCCCTTGTTCAGCAGACAAAGATAAGCATAACTCTTCAGTTGCCCTGGTGTGACCTCCCCCCACACCCACCCATCCAGGATGGAACCGTCCCTGTAGAACACACAGAACATTTCCCCCAAAACATGATGGCATCCATGCAGAAGTGTACCCTAAAAATTGCCTCTAAAATCCTACTGAAGTATAAGTTTTTGAGGTATAAGCTCAAACCCTAAGCTCCCGTCTTAACATTGTTTTAGCCCTGGCTTACTAGCTGTTGGGAACCCATGTAAGTGCTCATTGTATTATTGCTGGGATTTATTTTTAATCTTCTTTAAAAGATTATGTGTTTTTCTCCTCTGGCTTCATATTTTTGGTTATTCTACCTTTCAGTAAGTTCCCTAAAGCAAGGGCCCCCAAACTCTGGGCCGCAGACTGGTACCTCTGTCAGATCAGAGGCATTAGATCAGAAATAAAGGACACAAAAAATGTAATGCTCTTGAATCATCCTGAAACCATCCACCTGACTTCCTGGTCCATGGAAAAACTGTCTTCCACAAAACCACTGGTGCCAAAATGGTTGGGGACCGTTTCCCTACAGAATTTATGACTCTTCAGTTCAGCTGCTCAGTTGTGTCCAACTTTTTGCGACCCCATGAACCACAGCATGCCAGGGCTTCCTGTCCATCACCAACTCCCAGAGTTTACCCAGACGCATGTCCATTGAGTCAGTGATGCCATCTAACCATCTCCTCCTCTTTCATCCCCTTCTCCTCCTGCCTTCAATCTTACCCAGCATCAGGGTCTTTTCAAATGAGTCAGCTCTTTGCATCAGGTGGCCAAAGTATTGGAGTTTCAGCTTCAACATCAGTCCTTCCAATGAACACCCAGGACTGATCTCCTTTATGACTCTTAGATGATCATATTTGCAAAGCAGAAGTAGAGACACAGATGAAGGGAAGAAGTGGAAGGATACCAAGGGGGGGGAGTAGGGGTGGGATGAACTGATAGATTGGGACTGACATGTTGCTGTTCAGTCGCTGAGTTGGGTCAGACCCTTTGACATATACACACACTACTCTGTATAAACAGGTAACTACTGAGAACCTACTATATGGCACAGGGAACTCTACTCAACTTGGTGACCTAAATGGGGAAGAAGCCCCAAAAGAGGAGATGGATGTACATGTGTAGCTGAATCACTTTGTTTACAGCACAAACAGCATTGTAAAGCATCTATATTCCAATAAAAATATTTTTTAAAATGAATTTATTACTCTTTACTTTTAAGACATTTTTCTTTGAATGCTCTCAATTATTTAAATTTTTGGCAGGCCTTTATCATCCTAACTCTTGAACTTCATCCTTCACTTTTGATCTTTTTTATCTTTTTATCTTTCTTAATGAAGCTTAAGATCATGATAATTTTGTTCTGAAAGATCCTAAAAACATCGTTTTATTAAATTTTAACCTCTTTTATCCTTTCACATTTTCTTTTTACTAAAATAATTTTGAGCTCTCTGTTTATTTGCATTCAATGTTTACCCCCGCCTCATCCATTTGCTTGTAGGGAGAAATTTTGGAATATCTCAGTATTACTTTTTATTTCCTTATCATCCTTAACTCAGTCTCTTTTCCTTTCATTACTGGCATTTCTCAGCAAGGTGAGAAACTGGGAGGGTGAAAATAAAAGCCCACCACAGGGATGGGGAGACAGAGTTTCTCCCTTGTAAGAAGTTGTCTTTAAGCACATAAAATGTTTCCCATCACCTTCAACTCTGAACTTCTAGTAGAATGTATCTAGGTAATTCCAGAGACCCACAGGCAAAACCTGCTGAGTTGATGATCCCACTCATGCAGACATTTTTATTTTCTGCACCAAATGATTTTCTGCTCCAAACCCACTGCGGGTGGTGACTGCAGCCATGAAATTAAAAGATGCTTGCTCCTTCGAAGGAAAGCTGTGACAAACCTACACAGCATATTAAAAAGCAGATATCACTGCCAACAAGGTCCGAACAGTCAAAGCTACGGTTTTTCCAGTAGTCATGTATGGACCTGAGAGTTGGACCATAAAGAAGGCTGAGCACCAAAGAATCCATGCTTTCAAACTGTGGTGTTGAAGAAGACTCTTGAGAGTCCCTTAGACAGCAAGAGATCAAACCAGCCGATCCTAAAGGAAATCAACCCTGAATATTCATTGGAGACGAGGGCAGCAGAAAATGAGATGGTTAGACAGCATCACCAACTCAGTGGACATGAGTCTGAGCAAACTCCAGGAGATGGTGAAGGACAGGGAAGCCTGGTGTGCTGCAGTCCATGGAATCGCAAAGAGTCAGACACAACTTAGCAACTGAACAACAACTCATTCATGTTACAGAGTCCAGGTTTCATTCAAAATAACACTGGGTAGCCACTGCAGAGTTTAAAGCAAGGAGTGATGGGGAACACATGTAAATCCATGGCTGATTCTTGTCAATGGATGGCAAAAACCACTACAATATAAATAAGTAAGTAAATAAAGCAAGGAGTGACAAGCTCAGATCTGGGTTCTACCAGAACCCTCCCAGCTGCGTGGTGGAGAACAACCCACAGTAACAGGGACCAGGGAGGAGGTTCTGGTGGTGATCCAGAAGAGAGATGCTGGTGGGGGCGGAAAAAGGTGGATGGAATAAAAAGATATGTAGGGGTGTGCATCTACCAGAACATGGCTTGGGGTACGCTGAGGTGGTCAGGAGTCAAGGAAAACATCCAGATTTCTGCTTGCGCAAGAACAGGTGACACAGCGCCAGAGACAGAAAAGAATGGGAAGGAGGTTATCTTGTGGGAAGAGAAAGGGGAAGACCATGCAAGCAGTCTGAGGCATGTGGTATTAGATGCACCCATTTAGCAGCCACGAAAGGACTCTGGAGAGGTCACCGTTAGGAGTGGTCAGCAAGGGGATGGCTGTTCAGGTCAGTGAGGCATGAGGTTACCCACGGAGTGAGAACCCAGAGGAACATCAACCTTCCATGGGAAAGGAGGGAGAGCAGGAGCTTGCAAAGCAGAAGAGGGCAAGGAAGGAGAATGAGAAGCAGGGGTGGGATGAAGGTGTTGCTCCAAGAATGTAGGGGTGCTCAGTACACCATCTGCTGCAGAGAGGTCAAGGATGAAAGAGTGGATTGAGCAAGAGTCAGCAAAAGGGAGGGCTTCCCTGGTGGCTCAGTGGTAAAGAATCTGCCATTAATCTCTGTCTTAGGAAGATCCCCTGAAGGAGGAAATGGCAACCCACTCCAGTATTCTTGCCTAGAAAAATCCACGGATAGGGGAGCCTGGTGGGCTACAGTCAAGCAACAATCAAGCAAAAGGGAGCATGAATGTGTTAGATTCCCAGAGGCAACAGAGCCAGATGTCTGTGGCCATGACACGGAGTGAGGACAGAGCAGGGGGCAGAGGACAGTTTAAGAAGGCTGGTTGCGAAGAGGAGGAAAGAGGAGGGCATGGTTGGAGGAAGGTGAGGAAGGATGGCCTTCTTCTTCTGAGAAGGAAGGGGTTTCAGCATGCTTGTGTACTGAGGTAGGACCAGGCATGGGGCGGGGAGGGGGGGGAATACAGATGCAGAACGAGATAATCAAGAGAATGAGATTCCTCCTCCTTCCACGGAAAAGAAATGGAATCCAGAGTGTCAGTGGAGGATGAACCTTAGAAGGTGAGGCTTCTGGTTTTTTTTTATCATAAAAGACGGGAAGGATGGGAGGGAAGATCCAGACAGAGCTGGGCATGGAGCCCTGTCATCACAGGGTTAGGCTGTTTTTATCAGGGAAACTCCTGTTTTCTCAGGGAAGCAGGCTGAGGGGATGGTGGCAGCAGGAGACGGTCTGAAATGGTTGCTGTATTGTACAGGGGGAGGGAGTGGTCCAGGCAAAGTCTGAGGGAAGGCCTGGCTGACGCTGGAAATCATAGAGCCCCGATGCCACGAATTCACAGTTACAGGATTCTGTCCAGTAGAAGCGCAGCAGCCTCTGGCTCCGCACCGGGAGAAGGAGACGAGGGGACTCAGCTGCGGACCTGGGGACCCCAGCTTTGGAAAGAAAAGCACATCACCTCATGTGGCCCCACCCAAGCTGCTCCTCCCAGCCTGGGGTGTGGGGGTGGGGGGAGCTTCAAGCGGAGGGGCTGTTTTCATCTTTGTTGACTTCAGGCCCCACAGTCTCTGGTCTGTTGAATCAATACTATTTTTTTTCTAAGTGATTTTTTTTTTTCCCCTTAAGAAGCTTACAGGGCACATCCCAAAGTCCGTATTCTTCTTAACAAACGTGGAATCTGATTATAAGACTCTCCCCCTGAGATGACATCTTCCCCAAGCAGCCAACTGATGAACAAACTTTGGGAATATAGCTCACGGAGGCAGAAAAATTAACCCATGGAGCTTAAATTGGGAGCCATGAGATCAGAGTTCACAGCTAGTCATTTGTTGTGGGACTCTTGATGAAGATTCTTGACCTTTACCCACCTCAGCATCTCTGTAAACTGTGGATGAGCCACTCATTGGGCAGGACTTTAGGAGAAAATGGTCTCACATATCCCAGACTCCTGGCATGATGCTCACTCCACCAATATCACTTTCCTCTGTCTCCCTCCGGGCCAGAGTGTGTACGATTCTAAAGGAACATTACAGAAAACTAAAGGTCATAGGTCTATGATGATCAAAAGACACACGTCCCAAACTCCATGATCCCAAATTTCATGACTTATTTACTCTTGCTATGTGAAATGCATGCTAGTCTTTTCTGTTCCATTTCATGTTTAAAGATTTGCTTGTTGCAACGCAACGCAAATCTCACAATCCAATAATGATTGTGCTGTGCAGTTTAAAAAACACTAGATGAGAGGCCCATCTCTATATCACTGCAAACAGTACATTAACAGACCACAGAATGGAAAAAGTTGAAAACTACCGCTCTAAAAACGCTACCACACAGCTGACATGAATTTCTCCCCAAACTGCAAGAAAGACATGTCAGCTGACTTTCATGAAAGACTCGGCCTCTTGCTCACCTGGGCTGTGAAGAGTCATCTGACTGTGACTTCTCAGCGCCTGGCTTGCTTTGGAAACTCACCCATACCTTGGCAACAAGACTCTACCGGCTAGATGCTTATTTTAGCATATGCCCAGGGTGAACAACACAGAGGGCTGGAGACAGTAACAGGGTAGGCTAGCCAAGGGTGCTTAAGGGTCCACTCTTTGTACTTTCAACTACAGAGCGGTAGTTGATGTGGTAGTGATCAACACACTTTGAGAGGGAAGCATCTGGGCTCACCCCGTTCTCCTCCTTCACTGCTGTGCTCAAACCAGACAGGGTTTGTCCTTTGCTTTACTAGGATGTCATGCTCACAGGCCATCCTAAAATGCAATCCCACCTTCCAAAACACCCTCACCCGCACTGCAGGGCTCAGCTGAGCTGCCACTGTCTCCGGATGCCTTCCCAGGAACCCCAGATCTAGCGTTCCCTTGGCACCACGTGTGTGCCCAGTACAGCACGTGCACATTCATTCTGCACTGGGGGCTCACTGGGGGCTCACTGGGCACCAGTCCTGCTGTAGGTGCTGGGAAAAGGGCTACAGGCCAATGCCAGCCTTTTTGGAGTTTATACTAGCGAAGGGGAAACAAATGAATCTGTAACACAGTTGTGCATGGTAATATTATAAACTGACATAACGCATGATGAAATCATCACACTCAGAATTTCCCCTTTACCTGGCTGCATCTCTCCCATGGTTACACAGCACAGTGTGTGGCTCTGAGGCCCCCAACAAAAACTTGGTGGATGAAAGCACAACTGTCAACTTTCTGGTTTTCTCCACTGTCCTGGGAATTTGTCTTGTTTTGGTCACATACAAGAAGATAACCTTTAATTGTCTGCAAAGGGTCTGTTCTGCACATATAGCATCATTACAATGAATGCCACGCTTACCTGATTCTCGACAACCACTCATTGCTAAACCACAAGGTACTTCATGTAAGTAGGGGCAGCCCTCTCTAGAAGGCAGAAGCCCTTCTGCCTGTGGCTTCCCTAGTCCTGCAGGAGATGCTGGAGTTGTAAGTCCTCCAGTTATTCTGCACTAAAAAAAGAGACATATTAACTTCATTTCCTAATTTTGTGGCTATTCTCTGCTTCTGGGGGAGAATGTTCCTGTTTGTAGGAAATACACATGAAAGAACTGATAAGGTGATGGGGCATCCGTCAGCAACTTATTTAGACATCATCAGTAGGGTTAAAAGGGTAAAAGGATTTTCCCCTTTGTACTGTAATTATAGCTTTTCTGTAAGTCTGGGGTGTTTCAAGGTTAAAAGAAATAGAGAGGGAAAAAATAGAAAGGGACGTAAGTACAGGATGAGATAGGAAAAAAAAATAATGAATTCAGAAGCAACAGCATCCCATGAACCCCTGAGGTCGGGCACCAAATGGTTTGGTAAAATGTTAAGTGGTTACCATCTCACATCATTAGGATGTCAACAATCAACAAACGGAAAGGAAGAGTATGGGCGCGGATGGAGACAGTGAAACCCTCCCGCACTGTTGGTGGAAATGTAACATGGTGCAATCGCCACAGAAAACAGTGTGGTGGCTCCTCAAAAAACTAAACATAGAACTATCATCTAATCCAGCAATTCCACTTCTGGGTATACAGCCAAAAGTATTTAAAGCAGAGATCTGAAGAGAGAGTTTTACACTCATATTCACAGTAGCCTTATTCGTAAGCCAAAATGTGGAAGCAACCCAAACAACCATGAACAGGTGAGTGGATAAACAAAATGTGGTAGATACATCGTGGGAGAGACTGTTGCTCAGCTGCTCAGTTGTGTCCAACTTTTGTGACCCCATGGACTGCAGCACACCAGGCTTCCCTGTCCTTCACCAACTCCTGGAGTTTGCTCAAACTCATGTCCATTGAACCGACGGTAGATATGATGGAATATTATTCAGCCTTTAAGAAGAAAGGAAGTTCTGACACAGGCTACAACACAGATGAACCTGAGGGACATTAAGCTTAGTAAAACAAGCAACCCACAAAAAGACAAATACTGTACGATTCCATTTAGACAAGGGACCTAGAGTAGCCAAATTCAGAGATAGAAGGTAGAAAGGAGCTTCCCAGGGCTGGAGGAAGGGGGAGTGGGGAGTTGACTGTTTAATGGGTAGACAGTTTCAGTTTTGCAAGATGAACAGAGCTCTGTAGGGGGATGGTGGTGACGGCTGCGTGACGGTGTGAATATACTCAGTGCCACTGACCTGTTTAAAATTAAAAAATGACTAAGATGGCAGATTTTGTCAGGTGTATTTTTATCACAATTTACAACATTTACTTGGTAGGTTATCCAGCTCTGTGGTTTTTGGCAAGGCGTGGCAATCACACATTCCTGATTCTACCAGTTATCAGCTGTTAAGAGCTGGGCAAGTGACTCAGCCTCCCTCAGCCTCCATCTCCCCAACTGCAAAATGCGAATGCTAACAAGGATAATTACAATGAGGGTGATATCAAATTTATAAAACCTTTGCAAAGGTTAAATGAGACTAATGTTTACCAAATACAAGTAAAATTATGTGCCATATATTTGGTCCATAAATTATAAATACTAATACATCAATAAATCATGTCTTACTGCTTTTGTTGGCTCTGATTACCATAAATAGGATTAGCTTAATTCAAAAGTTATAATTTTTAAAAAAGTTATATAAATGAGCTTATTTACAAAACAGAAACAAGACTCACAGATTTCGAAAACAAACTTATGGTTACCAAATGGGAAATGCTGGGGGTGGGGTAGAGAGATCCATTAGGAGTTTGGGATTAACACACACACACTAATGTAAACAAGTAATCAGCAAGGACCTACTGTATAACACAGGGAACTAGACTCCATACCCTGTATTACCTATACGGGAAAAGAATCTGAAAAAGGATAGATACATTTACATGTAAACTGAATCACTATGCTATGCACCTGAAACCAGCACAACTGTAAATCAACAAGACACCAAAAAAAATTTTTTTTAAACCAAACAAAGAAAAAAATCAAAAGGTAACAGTGGCCTGTAGAGTATGTACTGCCAGAGTGAGTGGCTTTGAACATCTGCTAATTTAATCCCAGAGCAGAAATCTATGATTCCAGGCTTTGGCTGTGCTATTCCTAATTTCAGAAACTTCTGGTTCTCATTCTGTCTCAAAGATATCCTCAGATGACAGAGCAATGGGAATAATCATGTACAAAGGGTTGACAGGTTAAAATAATGAAAGAGGTTTCCATTATTGCAAGGAAACACCTCATAATTAATCTTTTTACCTCAACATCATGTTTTTCTATGATTTGCTCCTAACTTCTGCCTTGATAGCTAGAATAGGCATTAAAAAGCAAAGCTGGATGCACGACTGCTTGAAAATGAGAAATTTAAATTTCCAAACTAATGGACAGAAACAGATAGAATGAATTTAATATTATATATGTTGTCAAAAGACTAATTCCCTTGCTTATAATTACAATCTGATTTGGGGCAACAAACTTATAAAAATGTGAACTCACATGACACATCTGTGCTCTCTGGGCCTTTTTATCATATAACCTTTTTTTTATTTTAATGAAATGATTTGTGAAAATTACATGGGAAAAATGATAAAAGATTGAACCATATAAAAAGGATGCCATCTGAAATCAAAAAATCCTTATTAACAGTTATATTAGATGACCTCATCAACAATACTTTTAGGGGCAAGCAACACAATCTCCTCAGCAAATGCATTCGGAACAGGTAGTACTAATTCCAATTCCTATTTTAAAGGGAAGGCAAATGTCCTGTCATCAAATTCCACATTGTAAGGAGATTTTGTGGAGTTTTACTCCTGAATGCCAGTTACAGATTTGTACCATAAGGCCACATTCTCAACAACAAAAAAAATCCTGGACCCAGTCCACATGGAATTTCAGGTAAAACACCAGACTCACTACACAGAAGAATTTCCTCTTTTCCGTAGAAGAGGGAATATATTACAACTGCAAGAGGGACCTTTATAGAAATGGCCAGAGACGAATGGGCTAATCCAGAGAGACCCCCACCCCCACCCCATGAACCTACTACAAACAAGAGAAAGCTCATTTCAGTGTTGAAAGGCACCTTTGTGATCTGAAGAAGGACCAAGGTGTGACTAACTGAACAATATCTCTGCATAAATGAAAGGCCAGGGGCACCTCAACAAGAGAAAGTTCTAGTCACTGGCCTATGTATCTTTCAAACAGACAACAGCGAATTTCTGCAGAAGGGAGAAGGATCTGGGAGGACAAAGAAGCTTGCCCATGAGCCACCTGCCATCCCAAGCCACCGCTGAACAAGACGGTGGCGGAAGTGAACACGACAAGGCGTAGGGTGGTGACGAGAGTCCTCCCTGGAAGTTTACATTTTAAAAGCTTACAAGAAAAATCACAGAGGGCCGAAACAAAGGCTGGCAATGGGGACAGGTCGCTCTTGAAATCAGAAAAAGTTTATGAGAGAGGGGGGCGGAAAAAAGCCCCAAACAAGCCAACTTAATTTAGACTTAATTGCTAACTTGGAGGAGTTCCACAGCTGAGGCTTTGAAGGTTTTAGAAGCTCTTCCTATGCCACATCTTTAAATATATGTACGTTCAATCAACATGAGAAAGACTAAGAAGAGTCTGCCGCAGACACCTGCTTCAAACAATGGTGCTGATCTCCGAGGGATTCTAAACAGCCACGCACCAACTCCAGAAGTAATTTGCAACCAAATTAGTAAATGTCATCCTCCTTCCTAGGAGACACAGCATTTTTTTAAAAAAAAAGATTAAAGCACTGGCAGTGAAACTGCCATTTTACAAGAGTTAAAAGATAAGTTCGGGGCGGGGGGGAAATGAAGATGGTGATTCACAGGATTGGGGTGTGGGGTGGGAGTGGAGCACCACCATTTTACTAATAGGGCTTGTCTATCAAATTTCCCCACCGGGAAAGGACGGTGGTGGTCACAGCTTCTAGAGAACAACGTAAGGGGAGCGACAACCAGGTCCGTGTTCAGAAAGGAACCTGCACGCTGTCCATACCTGGGGATGGACGATTCCACGGACGAGGAGAGAGGCGCCTTCTCATTCTCCTCCTCATGTCACCGAGCCCCCTCCGGGTCAGCTCGGTCCACCACTGAATCATCTTTTTATCAGCACCACTCTGAGCAGAACAAGCCCAGGGACAAAGCTTTCTCCTTGCAGAAACCCCAGCATCTCCCAGGTGAGCCCGCCTCAGAGCTTGTCTTCATCCAGGCGCGCCCGCCCGCAGGGAACGCCGAGTCGTTAGCATGAAAGGTCCATTTCACACTGATAACCCGAGCTCTTGAGAACCGAATAAAATAAAGGCACTAGCTCGAGTTTCTTAACGTGTGGCCCCCAAAGCTGAAAAACACTCTCACCCCAAGATTACAGGATTGAGCACCAGTTTTTTGTTTTGTTTTCTGACACCGATCAAAACCGGCATCGCCCTGCCCCAGGCCCCTGGAAAGAAACTTGGCTTAGTTCAGAAGTGAGTGTTGCTCTGCTTCTCGAGCAAACGCCAAGAAAACTTGATTTTCCTCCGTGGACAGGCTGCCACCCCATCACACACCTCTCCTTCCCAGGGCGTGCGGGAAACAGTAAACTTTCCGCCACCGTCTTCCTTCCCTCCCTCCCACCCCGCAGTTTAGGTGAGAGAAAAGCCCAGGAGGAAGCGGAGGCGCCCCAGCCCCTGGCCCCGACAGCCTCTGCCCGGCCAAGGTCCGCGCATCCCCGGCGTCCGGCGCGCCAGAAACCACGGAAACGAGACCCAAAGTTTGCGGCGCTTGTCGCCCTTTCCGAGTTCACCGTCCTGCCGCTCGCCCCGTCCTGGACCTGCTCGGAGCCCGAGTCGGGTGGCCGCCCCCCTCCCCGCGCCCTTCGCAGGGCGCCCTGCCCTCCCGGTCGGTCGGCGACCCGCGCGGGGACCTACCTACCTGCCGGTGGCGGCGGTCAGAGCGCGCGGCTGGGCGGCGGCGCGGGCACGGGCGGCGCGGGCCAGGGGGCGCTCGTCACCCCGAGGCCCCGCCGCCGAGCCGGCTGCCCGGACGCCCGCCCCGGAGCCGCGGCCCGCGCACCGCCCGCCCCGCGCCGCTCTCCTCCGGGACCCGCCCCGCGCTGCGCCCCGCGCTTCCGCTCGCAGCGGCTCCGGCCCCGAGACCTGGTCCCATCCCCGCGCCGGGGATGCTGAGCTGCGCGCGGGCAGAGGCACCCGAGACCACGTGACTCTCCATCTAACCCAACCGAAAAGCGAAACGAGCCTTCCCACGGGAAGGATCAAGGTCATCAGATTAAAACACACACACACACAAACTTCAGCTGTTTGCCAGCCTTTCCACTAGAAAGGGCTGGTGAACCCTGTTCTTTTAAAATGCCCCACCTGAGAAAGATTTGGTGCTGGATAACCCTACCTACGACTTTGTTTCTGCACCTTTTTTGGGTATCATTTCCTAAGTTCATTGCTTTAAACTTGACAGCCCTTGAAGCTGCAGTGTAACGTCTTATCCGTGCCGTCGTCATTGGAAGGATTTCACGCCTGCCTGGTGGCCCTGATGGTCATACTGAGGATGAGTGGGGTGCTTTTGTTCTGTGCTCTAGAGAATTAATTTTTCATTCAGGGTAGACTACTCGTTACCAGCACTGCAGGGCCGTTCGCTCTGAATTATTACGCAAAATGATTGAAATGTACTTGGTTAAAGTGCTTGTTGCTCTAATATACTAAACCCAGATTAGTTTAAGAAATAGAACAATAGTCCTTTTCTTCTCTCTCCCCTCCCCCCCCCCCCCCCCCGCTTTTTTTCTTTTTTTTTTGAGAGGGAGATTAAAAAGGTATGGAAGAGCCTCAGCTTGGATCAGCTGGCTTCTGATCACGGAAGTATAGACTGTCAGCTGAGAAAGACCTCAGACTACAGCTAGTTCCAAACTTTTAAAGATGAAAAGAAACCTGAGGCCCAGGAGGATCTGGTGACTTAGTTCCCATTTCTGCCTTGTGGCAGGCAGGGGCTGGGAAGTCAGATGGCAGGCGGGGGCTGGGAAGTCAGATATGCTGGCTTGTTCTCCTAATCTGGATGAACTCTGCTGAGCAAACACACATACCTTTTAAAGATAAAAACACATTCCCCGAGGAGTAGGCCCTCTTGGGCATTTATCAGTATCTAACAGCATGGAACGGACCCTTAGGCCAGGATCATCCAACAGAGAGGCTGCCACCCCTGGAAGGTCATAGTCAAGAGGTGTGATGGTGGGAGAACCTCAACTGTATTGACATCACCAGAGCCTGGCACACAGTAGCTGCTCATTGTATATTTGCTGTTGAGGTTTAGTAGGAAAATGTATCTATGGCTGAGAACGAGGTGACAGAAGCAGAAAGAGGCCCAGCTTCTCTCTGCAGACTGCCAGAGAGAAACCTCCTGGTTCAAGACACCTGCCCCTTGGTTCTCTCCCAGTCATCTTCAACACGGCTTCTTACACAGAAGACAGATGGCAGGCCACCAGAGGCTTCGGGGCCTAGGAGACAGCAAACCCACCCACTCTTCATGGCTGGAGTTTTCACTGACCATTTGAGAAAGGGCTTAAGTATTAGGTTGGCCAGAAATTTCCATAATGTGGTATAGAAAAGCCCAAACGAGATTCCTGGTCAACCCAATACAAGTAGGCACTCAAGGGAAAGTATTATGTCTTCTTAATTTAGTCAATAGTTAGTGGCTTTTAAAAAGTTTCAAATAGGACTTCCCTAGTGGTCCAGTGGTTAAGAATCTGCCAGCCAATGCAGGGGACACAGGTTTGATTCTTGGTCCAGGAAGATGCCACATGCCGTAGGGCAGCTAAGCTCTAGCACCACAGCTGTTGAGCCTGTGCTCGAGAGCCCACTATCCGCAACTCCTGAGGTCATGCACTGCAGCTACGGAAGCCAGAGCTCCTAGAGCCTGTGCCCCACAAGGAGAGAAGCCACTGCAGTGATAAGCCCCCGCCCACTCCTGGCAACTAGAGCCAAAATAAACAATGTTTCAAATAATAATGATGATAATCATCACCATGTGCTATCTATTAGTCACTGTAATGAGCACTTTTTTTTTCATTATTTTTGTGATGAGCACTTTTGATGCACTATTCACATAATCCTCGTAAAAATCTTAAGATGTAGATATTAAATCCTCACTGTCATCATCATTATCTCTATGTTAGGGATGAGAATAATGCAGCTTAGAAGGATTAGGCAGCTTGCCTGTGACCACAAGGTTAATCAAATGCCATAACCAGGATTGCAACTCGGGCCAGTTGGAAGCAGCCCCTTAGGCACGTTGGAATGCTGCCTCTATTCCTAGACCATACCCTCCACTTTCCCCTTCTTTCTGTTTGGGACAGTTGGTCCCTGGAGACACATGCTACTCTACTATATAACCATATAGTCCTACAATTAGAAACCTATTCATTTGAAGACTGTATCTTTTAAAACAATATTCATCATGTGTCTAGAAAGAGTTTTGTTTTTGTTTTGTTTTGTCTTGAATATCAACTAAAAGGGAAAACATCCCTCTTTGTTCTCATTCCATGTAGGTGCTAGAGATAACTGTAGACCTTTCTGACCCCAGTAGCCTAGAGCTGGCCTCTCCTCCCCTAGGCTGCAAGGCATTTCTGTTTTGTATCAGACTCTGTCTCATTGTTTTATCGATGGCTGCTGCTCAGAAGTTCTCCACACCTTTATTTCCTGGAAGAGGAAACTGCGTTTCCTGGGGGGGCTTGCACGTGGGTGGTGAGGTTCCACTCTTTACGTTAAACACACTCGAGCTTTCGGTTGGTTCTGTTTCTTTTCCCACTTCAGCTTCTGCTCTTGACTTTCCTGGAATCGTGCTGAGAAGCACCTGAGCGGCAGCTGCTTCCATTCCCTTTAGCTAGGGAAGAGGGGGACTCCTGCTCTGGATTCAGAGCGAAGGAATGAATGACTTAGCTCTTGAGTCTTATGTCTGGAGACACCGCATTCCATCTTCCTTCAACTTAGGATTTGTGAAAGGGAGCCTGAGACATCTCTTCATTTTAAATTTGGACCTGGTGGGTGATTATAGTCTATCTCCAGAAGAGACCAGTTCTGGCATGCTTCTGTGAAGTTGACCGTCCGTAAAGGATATAGGATTGAAATTAAAAAGAAAATGTTCTGGGGCTTCCCTGGTAAAGAATCAGCCTGCCAGTGCAGGAGATACAGGTTTGACCCCTGGTCTGGGAATATCCCAGCATGCCATGGAGCAACTAAGCCTGTGCATCACAAGTACTGAGCCTGTGCTCCCCAACAAGAGAAGCCACCACAATGACAAGCCTGCACACCACACCTAGAGGGTAGCCCCTGTTTGCCGCAGCTAGGGGAAGGCCCGCACAGCAACAAAGACCCAGCATAGCCAAGAATGAGACATAGGTGAGTACATTTTGAAGAGAGAAAGCATTCTTATTATGAGCCTTAATTTGGAGAAAGATAGCATTAGGGAAAAGAAGGATATGACCCTGCAATTTGAACAAAGGGTAATTTCACAAGGACCCTTCTGCCTCTGCAGAAAGTCACCACCTGGAGGAAACCAGTTTGGACAGTTTCTTGAGGAGTTTGTAAAGTGATCCACCTGAATCCCCAGAAGAATCAGCATGGAGTTGGAAGACAATGATCTACCTTAATGGGAGATTTGATAAACATATTGAGTCTAGGGTAAATTTGTTCAGAAAAATGTCAAAGTTATTCTAGGAGCTATGGGTAAAAGTGTGCTATGATAATAATAAGTCATTTCAGTTGTGTCCAACCCTTTGTGACCCTGTGGACTGTAGCCTGCCAGGCTCCTCTGTCCATGGGGATTCTCCAGGCAAGAATACTGGAGTGGGTTGCCATGCCCTCCTCCAGGGGATCTTCCTGATCCAGGGATCGAACCCACGTCTCTTATGTCTCCAGCATTGACAATCAGATTCTTTACCGCTAGCACTCCCTGGGAAGTCCCATGGGTAAAAGAGGTATATGCAAAAACAGCTATTTTATTGTACAACACAGGGAATATAACCATTATTTTGTAATAATTATAAATGGAGTATAATCTATAAAAATTTTGAGTCACTATGTTGGACACCTGAAAAAGAGCCAACTCATTGAAAAAGACCTTGATGCTGGGAAAGACTGAGGGCAGGAGGAGAAGGGGTCAACAGAGGATGAGATGATTGAATGGCATCACTGACTTCATGGACATGAGTTTGAGCAAACTCTGGGAGACAGTAAAGGACAGGGAAGCCTGGCGTGCTGCAGTCCACGGGATCACAAAGAGTCAGACATGACTTAGCAACTGAACAATAACACTTGAAAATAATATTATACATCAACTATACCTTAACAAAAATAACATTACTACTAATAAAAAAGTGTAGTAGTAGTAGTTTTTTAAGTGTTTGGTTTTTTTTGGCCATGCCATGTGGTACATGGGATCTTAGTTCCCTGACCCAGGATTGAACTTGTGCCCCCTGCACTGGAAGGGGAAGTCTTAACCTCTGGACCACCAGAGAAGTCCCCTAAACAGGTATTTTAAATCCACAGCTTGGACAAGGGAAAGGGAGATTTTTTTTTTCCCTTTCAATCCAAATTTAGCCATGCAAGTGGGTGGAAAAAAAGGATAATTAAACATTAGAAAAATTTTATTGCCACATGAGAGCTCTAAACCCTGAAGCAAAAATTGGTCCTGCCCTTGGGAAATAAGTAAACCTTGATTACTGTTGTTAATAAGATTGATATCCACTCTTCCAAACCACGAGGGGAGTAGTGAAAGAAGAATGCAAAATTTACCCTGAATTAAAAAAGGAACAATGTTCATACATGCTCAGTCATCTTAAGCTCATTTAAAAATCTTTGGCAAGGTAGGGAAGGTAGGTGTGATGTCTCTATTTAAAGAAAGAGATGGGGACTTCCCTCATTGTCCAGTGGTTCAGACTCTGCACTCCCAGTGCAGGGGGCCTGGTTCAAACCCTGGTCAGACAACTAGATCCCATGTGCCACAATTAAGACCTGGAGCAGCCAAATAAATAAATACATTTTTTTTAAAAAAGAAAGAGACTGTGAGTGAACCTAACACAGACTAATACTTACTGTGCATTTATGGCATGTGTTCGGGCATGGTGCCCAGCACTTTGTTTCAATTATTTAATTTGATTCTTACAACAAATCCCTTGAGATGA